TTCATTATTTTTAATTTGTCTGCCATAATTTTTGTTTTTTCTGCCTCTCCTTCAACTTTGTTCTTGTTACGCTCGTCTTTGGTATTTGTTGTATCCATGTGACTAAAATAAAATTAAAAAAAAACCATTTTAATAAAATATTATTTTAAACATGATTAATGAAATTGCATACTCATTAAGCTTAGATAAATCAAGATCTCTAGGAGGTGGTAATGGTGGCGGGGTTGATTCATTTTCATCACTATCAGATTCTGACACCAACGATTCTTCATCATCATAATCTTCTTCATCTTGCTGCCTTAATGATTCCATACGAGGAGGCGGTAAAGGGGGTGCTTCACTACTTAGTTCGCTATCACTACTTTCACAGTCTGATTCGCTTATATTATTCAACAATGAGCCATCTAAACTAGGTAAATTATCCTAAAACAAAGATATATAAATTGTATATTACTATTAACATATTTTTATTAATATTTTTTTATTTTTCAGTTTTTTATACAGTAAGATGTGATTTAAAATTGTTTATACCAAGAAACCTTTTGGACAAATTAAGTAAAAATATATTAAGACTAAATACATACATTTTTAGGACCTATAAAATATAATTAATATTTAATAAATCTTAATTGACTCATTAAAAAATATTAACATAAATTTTTTCTAATTTTTGTTTTATTTTATAAACTTTGTGTCCTAAAAAAATAACTTATTATATATGGCATCAATTTGATTGTTATTAAAGTATTAAAAATACATAATACATTTATTCTCACAGTCTACCTCTATAAAATAATGACTTTTAAGTATTAAAATATTATTTATTAATTTTATTATATTAAAATAAAGAGAACAAAGAAAATGTTATGAAGAAAAAAATAATTAAGCTGGAGATAGTTGAATGAACAATAACTGAAGCTAAATATATTAATTAATATAATTTACCTCATTATCCGCTTCCCAATTTGAATCAAGGGCTTCAATAACACTTTGGTATACAAATCGAAGTTGTTCAGGAGCTTGAACAAGTCCCAACCTACATTTTCTCATTTCCGCAAGTAATGTACGTATATGAACATAATTTAAGCCTTCTGGTGTATTCATCTATATCAAATATATCATTTATATTATGTTTTAAATTTAAATTCAATCACTTATTTTATTTACTTTAACTAGGCAGGTATCTATTAAGCAAAATGTTCCTGAACGTCCTATTCCTGCAGAACAATGAACGACAATTGGCCCATGAGATGGATCAAGACTACCACTACGCCTAACATCTCTTAGAAATCGTAAAAATGGTGTAGGTGTTTTAGGTACTCCAAAATCTGGCCAATCAGTATAATGAAAATGATAAATCTCACGAGATTCTCCAGAATCTAAGTCATTAAGCCTAAAAAAAAAAATTAATAATTTTTTTAAACAAAAAAAACTGATTAATTCTTACTTTAAAACACTTAGTGCATAAAATCCATGATTGATTTTAGAAATAAATTCTACAGATAAACCAACATCATTCCATACAAATTTATCATTATCCTTTTTTTTCTTTGGCCAATATTGATGACATTTAAGCTAAAGAAAAAAAAATGTTAATAATTACAATTAAATAATGAATTGAAACATAATACAAATTATATATTTTACTTTTTTCTTTTCGATAACTTTGTTCAACATTACAATGGCTTTAGAACTTTGTTCCCATACCATAAGCCAAAAATGGGAAGCACTGTTTTCTAAGGGTCCTTGAGTCAGTATATACTGCCTTTCACAATTACATACCTATGTAAACAAAACATAAAAATATATTTATAAATTTATATTTTAACATAAATATAGAATTCATCAATTATGCCAAGCCCCCATTTTTCTTTAAATTATGCATTTCTTCAATTTCTGGATATTGGAGTTTTAAAGTATACTTAAAGACCAAATTTTCATATATTGTTTAAGGAATATTGAGTAACAATTTAAAACTTATGTTTTTCAAATATTGAAATATATATAGAAAAAAATGGTATTTAGTTAGTAGATATGGCAGCAGTGATGATTTGAAAATTTTTGTTCAAAAATTTTATAACTTGTATGATAATTTAAATCAATATAATTAATACAAATATTAAAGATAACTATTTTTATTAATTCTAGTACGCTGATTATCATAAAACATCCATAAAAGGATAAGGATGAATTAAAGAGGGTGCTAAGGAATGACCTCAAAATGTTGAACAGGTACTTTTAAATATGATGACTAAGACCAAAATCTTGAAAAATAATAGAAATTTGTGGATTTTATTTAAAAAAAAAATAGAATAGCAAAAAAAAAAAAAAAAAGGATTGTGGAATAACAATGAACTTATTGCTGAAATTTAAGAATAATTGAAGTTTGAAAGACTATAGTATAAACTAAAAACTTAAAACAGAAATTAGCAAAAACTTGATGGAGAAAAATTATGAGACACTAAATGCTGCAAATAAATGTTATTTCAAGATCAGAAAAACGTTTTCATCCAAATCACTGTAAGACATACAAAGGAGCACTTATATCGAATATACATGTCTGAAGAGAGCTCAATCATTAAGAAAATCGCCAAAAACAATTCGTCAGAAAAAAGAGCAAGATATGAGCCTAAACAGAGATGATATGATACAGTTGAAAGAATTTGAAGAAAATCAACCTGTTACTGGATACGGATGTAGCATTAGATAAAGAGAGGTGGAAAAGTGTGTTGGAACTTGGAAGTGGTGATATAAAAAAGATGGATCAAAAGAGTATTATGATCATGCATAAAAAATTACCCTGTATACTTAGATTCAATAAAAATTTTTTATAATTAATATTTAATATTCCATCCATAAAAAGAAGAGAAGTTTTTCTATGTCGAATAAAGTATAAAATTAAATACTATATTAAAACTATTTGCTGATAAATCAAAATTATTCTATATAAATATTATTCTTACTTGTACAAGATTAGCATTTATGTAAGATACATTTCCTCTTTTTAGGATAATTCTAGTTTCATCATAAGGTGAAACATCTTGATATCTATTTAGTGCCTTATTTTGTGGTTTTTTTGCTTCATCAGATGTTTTCTTAATTTTTGAACTTTCAACTTCAACAAACTAAAAAAAAATTATCAAAATTAAATGATTCTATAGTTATTTTAATTAATATGACTCCCAATTCAAAATTAAGTTAAAACTGTATCATACTATTAATAATAATAAAAAAATTAACTACTAAGATATACTTAAAAAAAATTGAACATAATTAATAGATTAAATGGAATAAATAAAAAAAAATACTAAAGAACATTAGATTTTTTCAAAAAAATTTAGATCTATTGTCTATTTTTAATATAATTATATCGGGAAACATCAAACATGTTTTGTCTTCAGAAAATAATAAGATAGAACAATATTTTATTTTCTGGATTTAAGATTTTTAGCCTTTAATGTGTATTGATTATAGGACATTAATTATTGATCTATGGGTTTTGAATCATTATTCAATATTTTTTTTTATTTTTTTTACTTTACATAAATAACTATAATAATAATAAAATTTGCCAATAATTTAAATTGATTTAATATTGCTAATAACTCTTTGGGGATAAAATATTTTTCTTTAATATTTCTAGGGGAAAAATTGAAATAAATTAAATTTTTAATGAAGATAAAATATTCTGGATTTAATTTATTATATTATGTTTTTTTAAATTTTATACGAGATTAAATATATATATTTACATAGAGTTTATTTATCCAAATACTCCAAGAGTGAAATCAATTCATTTAAAATTAATATTGTAGTTATAATTATTTTTATAATATCCACATGATTATTATTTTTAGTTATTTTAAATTTATTGTACACATTTAAAATTTTTATAATCATATAATTTAATATCATACCACATAAAATAGGAAACATAGATACATTATTTTAAATTACTCTAAAATATAAATTCTTGTTTCTTTTACAAACTAAGATTTTTCAAGACTAACTTTTTCACTTACATTTTCAAATAAAATAGTATATTTTTTTTCAATTAATAATAATGTTTATTTATCTAGAATACCAAACATTTTTGATTAAATGGGAAGTTCACAACCTTTTTTTTTAATTTGATTTTAAACATACTATTAATATTTCTATGTTTATTGTATTTAGTGAGTTTTCTCATTCACAAACTATCAAAGAATATAAATTATAATAATATTGATGTATGGATATGACATTGAATGCAATACATACTAAAATCTATATTAATTTAGTAGTTAATTAAACAATTTAATTTTATTAATAGTATTGTATTTATACAATGAAATAAATAGAATACAATGCATACACATTGAGGCATTATATTGTTTACAGAACATATATCTACTAAATTTACTTACTCTAAACGTAATGTTCCACATATTCTTTGATTCTATGTCATTAAATTCATCTTGTAATCTTTTTTTCACTTGTTGATCGGTATGCATATTGACTTCTTGATAATCTTTAAATAAAATGCAAAATGTTTAATATCTGAATTTTCCTAGTTTTAAGCAAACAAGAAGTGTGTGTACCTTTTGGAAATGACGGTGTAATCTACAAAGAGTTATTAATACTTTAACACTAAATATACAAATTTATATTACAAAAAAATAAATATATTTTTCAAATATAATATTACAATAAATCGTAAAAAAATTTACTAAATAGTAAATTGCAGTTCATAACTAAAACTGCAATCAATATAGTAGTAGATATTCATTTTTTATCAGGACATTCTGCAATAAATGTATTACATTCATGATTGTTATCATCAGTGTTAACTACCACGTAGGACGAAATAACCAACACGAATAATCACTGACGTTTTGTTCTATTTATCGTGGGCGGTCCATTACTCGACTGGCCGGTCCATATTGATATGAATAACTATACAACAACCATGGTTCGGCCCAGAGAGTAATATGGTTCGAGCACAGAAGGTTGTGCGCATATATAAACAGAAAAATAAACATTATGCCAATAAGATAATGGCTCTCCGTTATCTATAAGTTTTATGTTGTTATTATTGCATACTGTTACAGTATTAATACGGTATCTATATCTAACGTCGTAATAATAATAGTAATAATATTCCGTAAGTTGATGTAAATTTATTCAATTGCAAAATTCATTTATTTTTTCAACACCGGATCCGATTCTTCGTTAGACATCGGATTTTCTGTTTAAGTAAGTGTGATCGCTAGACTTATTCCAGTTTGATATTGCTCAGTAGCCTGTGTATAATATATACGTTTATTGTATATATTGTCAATGACCCAATAATTAATACACAATAGTGTCCTAGAGACATCTATTCACGTTTCTCTCCCGTGTCCTCGAAATTACAATGATTGCCACTTTATTCTTTAAACAATAATTTTGATTTCGCAACGGTTTTTTAAGGTTTTTTTACCATTGTGGCATTGGCATCTCACTCTTACTGTAACTTTTGGTAATTTATTGTCAATTCTGGTTTTTAGAATCATTTAAGTGCGTGTGTCGCGTTGTATGGCTCGTAAAAATAAAGAAAACAAAAACATGGCGTTATCGACCATGTTACGGGATGAAGGCGATAGCAGTGAAGAAGACTACCGACGAAAGCGAGATAAAAACAATCAGGTATTTTTTAAATTTTGTATTATGTTTTTCTATGTCTGTATTGATATATATTTTTTAACTTGCTAGGCAGTTAAAAGAAGTCGAGTTAAAAGTAGAATGCGCACTCAGCAAACATTGCAACGTGTAAATCAATTAAAAACTGAGAATGATATACTTGAAGAAAAAATTAAACTTTTAAGTAAAGAACTAGGATTTTTAAAAGAACTTTTCATGGCACAAGCTGGTAAGATTTAAAAATAGAATTATTATAACTTAAATTGATTTTTATTTCATTATGTTTTAGGGACATCACAAATTGAACTCCCCAAATCTGTTGATCTTAAAACATTATTGAGTGATACTACATCAGACATTTTGGATAATGATTTAACAAAACCTCAATCTTCATCATAAGATTAAATTAATTTGTTTTATTTCATGGGCACAGTATATTTTATAAGCAAAAATAATGTTATGAGTCATATTGATTTAATCATTTTTTAAATATTTTTGTCCCATACTTAAAAAAAGATATTTATTTGTTAATATTGATTAGGTTATGGATTTTAAAAAGTTTAAATCATTTTTTTTTTTAATGGTTTCATTTATATTTGTCCAATTGTGTGTATGTTGTGCAATATTTGTATTTATATTTATTTTTTCAAACAATTGTACAATTTGAAAAATAAATTTAATGAATGTTTATTATGTATAATTATTGTAATTTTTGATTTTAACATGCGATGGCCTGAATTGAATAATGGGGACAGTCTTAAGTTCATACAAGAATGGAGAGAGTTGTTGCCTTGTTGATTAGTAATTTCTTATTCTTTTATCATTTTTTTAAATAAATTTATTTCCTAGTCTATAAATATATTTTGACAGTCTCGAAAAATTAGTTCAATATTTTTTTTTAATGACTTGATTAATCTAATTAAAGATTGCTCAAACAACCTCTGTGACTATCATCCATCAAGAACAATCAATATGATGCAAGATTCAATTCCAACAAATCAATATATAAAGTTAAATACTTTTTATCGCACTATTGTGCATAGATTCTTCACTCTATCCAGTGTTTGAGTGAATATGATTTTTTTTAATACTTGTGTCATAGGTCAATTTTTATCAATTGCCTTATAATAATAGATGTTTTATTTATTAAAATGAAAGAGATAGTAACCTTAAAACCAATTATAGTGAAGCAACTTTTTTCTTAAAAATAATAAATTATTAGTTATATACTTGATTAATTGCAATATAAATATTTATTGTTGAACTATTATACAAATAGCACAAGAAAAATACAGCACTTATAATATAATATTTGTATACATTTTCTTCATTATGCAATTAAGGGAATAGTTAATTCATATCAGTTATCTATTTGTATATTACAAAGAGAAAAAAACATTCCACATATTATTTAAATCATTTGATGTGTAAATATGTTGATTATTGACCTATTATAAAATTTAAAGTGGAGTATACTATCTGGTTGATTAAACTAAAGTTTAAAAATTAGACATTAATCAATTAATAATAACTTCAAGTTTAAATGATAGAAGATATTTATTATGTATGATAATTTATTAGTCAGTTTACATCTATACAACAACTATTATTGGTTCTATAATTTTGAGTTAATGTAGGACTCAACATTTTGAGTAAATAATAAGTTATTTTATTCTTTTATAGCATGCTTTTAATTTTAATAACAATAATTATAATGATGATAATATTATAAATTTTTAATTACACCTTAATACTTAAATTAGTAAAATTATATCTCTGCTGATGGCATTGACATGACCTTCTAAAAAGTTACATAATAAGTTTTAGATATTTTTTTTTCCACACATTATAGAAATACAATACATTGTATTATTGAGGTAGAAGTATTGGTGCATAAAGGGAGGCGACTTTAGGTCTTTAGCACCCTCTAAAATATTGTTTATAAAATTGATAATTTATCGAATTACAATTATAATACAGCAACAATTTTTATAATACCTATAACATTTTATTATTTATAATATTGAATTGAATGTGTTGATTTGAATTTAGTGAAAATAAGAAAGCACTACCTCTTCGCCCTAGTTATTTTAAATTTTTTGTACTATACATAATATTATATAACAGTATTTCTTGAAACTTTTTTATCCATGAAACCTTTTTTGATATCTACTTTTAGTGTGGAATCACTACTTTTTTAGCTTTTTAGTTTTTTTTAGGATTATTTACAATAAAAATTATGATTATTTTGTATAATAATTATATTATAAACTATAGAGTAAAGACTATACCTCACATATTATTATTTAATAGAAAAACATTATTTAGCCACTATTAATTTTTAGTTAAATATTTTAAAGTAATTTTCTTGGAAATTTTGAAAACAATTATTTTAGTTTAACAGAACCCCTGGGGTTCTGCAGAACAGTTTAAAAAATGCTGTAATATAATATTTATAACACTATCATATTTTAATCAGTAACCAATATTTAAAAGTAAATAATAACTAATTTTTATAAAATATATTGTGTATTAGGATCAAAAATAATTATATATATTATTATTATTTATAAAATAAATTAAAAATCAAATAACAAAAATTACTTCAAAGTGATTTTATGCTGGGTCTATACCAAGTGTGATTTTTATTTTGTTTCTGTTTTTAAAAACAATTTGTACTATACTATGTGGACCTGAAATTATTAGTTTTTTTTTTTTTTTGTATAAGTGCTTGTGTTTAGGTACTTGATTACATATAGGTAAATAATGGTGTTAGATCCCATTGAGTCACAAATAAACTTAGAAGCTTATAAGCACCCCCTTGTTCAAATGTCTAGTTTCACCAATGAGTAGAGGGATTAAAGTAAACTTTATTTTTTTAATGTCAATAATTTAAACTAATGAGTTACATTATTTATGATTAGGCTTGCCAGATTTTAAAATCACCAAACCGGGATATTATATTAAAATAACCTTATTTTTTTAGTAGGTATGTTAGTATAATTATATGGAAATTATAAATAGATAATCATGTAATGATGTAATGATATTATATACAATAGTATTCCATGTTTCGATATTAAATAATATAATGTTTAAGTTATTTTAGCTCGGCTTCCATTAACCGGGACAAAATTTATAACCGGCCGAGACACCGGGACATGCTGTTAAAACCGAGACGAATGGCAAGCCTATTTATGACAGGTATTTGTGTATTAAATATTATATTTAAATTAAATATATTGAATAATAAACAAGTAGTTGTTTTCAAAATATGTTCATAGCTGTATCTATTGCGTAATCTATAATTTAATTTCAATATAATTGTAAACGCGCATGTTTCTTGAGGTATGCAAGTATCCACTACTTACATACCATACATAGTATAACTAGGTATCGCAATTCACAAATGTGCTGTATAATAAAGAAATAATATATTGGCAAGCCTTAATGCTTATTTAGTTTAATATATGCCAATTCACCAAGCTATCTCTCATTTTAGATTCTTATAGCAAACCGATATATCCTATGCATTAGTTTAACAATGAAGTGCATATATAGTGCGTAATACATTTTTTTCCTGTTTTTGTATAGGTTTTGATTGTTTTATTTAAAAACTGTTCTTAAATCACTTCGATACGGCGAGAGAGGATTGCATTAAAACAACGGAATTATATATAGGTATATCGTATATATCATCATACAGTTATACACATTAATTATTCAATTATATTTTAAACTTTATTTTTGGTTAGCTTGTCAAACCTATCGTTAAATACTGTTGGATATTATTTAGAATTCACAGACTACGAACGCTTGCAAAGAACTATAGTCTCTAGACGTCACTAGCACAAGTTTTTAAGTTCCACAAAGGTTTCTGCATACCACATAAATAGGTATATGCCCATCCTACGTTTTCTACATCTTTCCACCCTATTTGATCGTCATCATGAAAAAATTATATTTTTTCGATATCTGCTCTCTATTGACTTCTCTTCCTTACTTGCGCTAAATATAAAAGTTCCTATTTAAAATACCTAGCCGTAATAATTCTTATATTGTTATTCCCTATTGCTCAACCAATTACTTGAGAAACTAACATTTCACCCCCGGATTATAAGATTTGCCAACGAAAATCTATTATTCCATTTGTAGATTAAGTCGTTTAACGTAATTTAATACACTTACGATTGTTGTTATTCAATCATACTTTGACTTTGTAGGTATATTATAGGTATTTGGCTCACACCTATTATTATTATAAACAATTAAATAACAGAATTATACATATAAAATAAGTTATTATCGGCCTAAAATGAAAAATTGAAAATATATTATTAAATTTAGTTTTATAAAGGTACTGTAATTATAACTTATTAGTTATTAGATTATTATTATTACCTATGTTAATTTTTAATTTAAAAAATCTATTTTTCTGTTTTCTTTTGATAACATATCAATTATATATACATGAAATATATATCTATATATAATATATATCTTTAGCTCTGTGTAATGTGTATCAATGACAGTGAATGATACCTGATTCAGACAGTTTTTCTTTGGTTATTATCGTGAGTATCCGAGATTTTATTCTTATTGGGGACGAAAATCTTCATTCTATTGAAGCTACATCTGACACCCATTGAAAACCTAAATATAATTTTCAGTAGTGAAAATATTAGGTATAGGAAAAATATCGTTGATGCAGTTTTTAAAGCACTTGAAGCTGTAATTTAAGAATATCTGGAACATCCTTTTTGGTTTTCCATTGTTAACTTCTTAGTAAAATTTCTCTTTGTAATTTTTTAATAAAATCTTTTTTACTTACAAATTGATCATTTATGCACTACAATTAATCAAACTATCCCCAAATGGAATCAAAAATTAAAATACCTGATTGTTTCATTATGGCTTATTGTTAAAATCAATATTATTTGAACAAATATTCTTAAATTATACAAGCTTAATGTTTTTATGGTAAATATAGAAATAAATGTAAATCATGTACTTATTAATTATGTAATCTAAAAATGGATTATAGTTGTATTTTGTTTTACGGTAAAATTAAAAATAATTTTTAATTGTATAAGTTTTAAGATTTAGTCTAGGCTGCTGTGATTTTGTAACTATTGGTTTTTTATTTAATTATCTTTAATACTATAATTATTTTTTTACAAGCTATTATCAGCTAAGTAACAATCTTTAAACTTGGTTTTATTACATAATCTAGGTTCAATTAAAATATTTTTTATTGTTCCTGCAGACTATTTGTCTAGATTTTTATTTTTGAAAGAACACGTAGTGTCCGTGTTATTAAAAATATAATAGATGTAACATAAAAAGCAATAATGAGTTACAACTGATTGAATAATATGATAAAAAATTTGTTTTACTTGAAGATTCTCTTTCGTTCCAAATTCCAATCAATTATCTGTAAAAGGATTTCTATGATTTAAGAGAGACTGGATAAAAGTTGTCTCGCTGGCCAGAATTCCTACTCATCTAGTCTAATATTATAATGAATCAAATAAGAGTGTAGAACAAACTTAAATATAAAATTTTATTTAGAACTTAAAAAAGAAAATCATTTCTTTAACTTGACTAAAACTATTCCTAATTGATTTTATTGCGTATTGTATTGAAAATTTCGGAGATAGCCGAAGACGATATTTAGTGTTTCATAGCGACATTTACGAATCTTTATTTTCTTGCTATTTTACCATTTATACCTAATTTACATAATATACATTATGGCTTCGAAAAAAATTTCAACAAATGTGTTTGGAAGGAAGGGGAGGTATAATAAAGTCTAGCTTGTAATTTTTTATAAATGGCAACCTTATGCATAGATAATTACTTGTAGCCTGGAGTAAATTTTGAACGTGGAATTTTGAACGTAGGTACGAGTGGAGAGAAGTAAAAGTAAATACACAAAAATATTATAATACAGGAAAATACCTACAATTTGTTTTAAATTGTGTTGTCAACACGTAAATCCATAATGTTACTATTGATGAGTGATGACAATAGTATATGGTTGTTAAATACCTATGTGATGAGTGTGTTTTTGGGAAATAACTCCTATTGTCCCACCGCCCTGCCCCTTATTAATATAATATTCCTCTTCAGTACTTTTAGTAGGTAAGCTGTTTTTAACGATTTTTTCTTATAAAGTTCAAAAGAAAAACGGAAGTTCTTAAGCTTGATTAATTTTTGACAAAATCTAAATCGTTTATTTCATGGCTTAATATTTATATGGGTATGATCGCAACTTTGTAATAGATACGTAAGTTTGGGAGCCGCATAGACCTTATACTAATAGTAAATATAACTAAAGTAGTCGGCCGCCACTGGCAATGCTATTATCACTTAAATTATTATTAGTTATCAAACAATTTAATTTTCAAATTCTTAATTTATTTTAAGAATTTAATAAAATAATTAACAATAAAATAGATACTGTTATTTAATTATTTACTTGTAAAAATATACATTATTTAAAAGTAATTGGTTATTTGATTTTAATAAGTAATTTAGAAATTATACCTAAATAGGTTATTAGCAAACTATTAGGTTAGAATTATGTCATTAATTTTATTTTTATTTTGAATGATCCCTGGGTTACTTATTAAAATTGTTTTTTGGGTATTGCTTAAAAAATTAATAAATAAATCTAAAATTGTATTCATAAAATACCTTTTATTTAAATCAAATATGTAAAAATCTAATTAATTTATTTACTTGAATATATATGTTTTTTTTTAATTTCTATGTTTTTGTTAAAATATAAAATATAATTTATTTATGTTTTGTTTATCATTCAAATAATTTAATTGTTTAATTCTCCTGAATGATTTCAAATGAACAGTAATATTTGTACAATTTCTTAATCACTATTTAAATTTATACAATTTATATTTTTTCCACAAGCATCAATTCATTTATTACAGTAAGTTTTTTGAAACTCTAAAATACCTTATGTCTGAATGTTCATTATCATTGACTTTATGTTGTGTCCATTTTTACAGTCTTGCTGCACATTGTGACATTTTAATAATTAAATTGACAATTGTTTATGTCAATGCCATAAATTTGCATGAACAATAAAATAAAGACTCAGTGCCAAGATTAACACTCATTGTCGTATATTTAAGTTAATAACTTGAATGCTCTTAATTAGGGATGAGCTGGTTTAATAATTGAATCCAGTTCTTGACAGATTCCCAAAAATGTCTCTTTGGTACTTGATGGTGGTACTTATTAAAAATAATAGGTAAGTATCATATCCACATTATACAATTTTTTTATTTTAATTTTCAGTTATTTTTAAATTAAAAAATAGTATCTACTCGCTATTCATTACAAGTACCTACCTACCTAAAGACATAAAATGAGTGTAGTTTGTACCACATTATTTATTAAATCTTATTTAATAATTAATAGTTAATATAAATTAGCTATAAATTAAAAAAAAAATATTTATTCATTCAAATTTTTATTGAGAAACACCAACATTCTAACTTTGTTTGAGTTTAGTCTGTTTCTATTTTTTTTTTTATCAACAATTAACCCAGACGTTGAAAACATTCTCTCAAAAAAACAGTTCCTGGAGGAGTACAAAGACATTTTAGTAATAACATATTTTTAAGTCTAGAAAAGTTAGTATTCCTTCCTCTTTATTGAAATATGTTAGTATCTACCTGGATTTCTGGATTTATATTTGGATTGTTCAAATAAGATTAGACTTCTTCTTTGACACTTAATTTTGTTTTAAATTATTCTTGAGCATATGAATCTTCTTTCATTATGTTTGCATATCAATTTCACATAATATGGCCAGTATTTATTTCACTTGTTTAAGTTGAAAATAATAAGAACCAGTACCAATACATTTTTTTATGAGAACCAACAATTATCAGTTCCTTTGATTCCTAGAGAACTGGAACCAGCTTATCCCTACTCTTAATTCATACTTATGTATAACAAAATGTAAGCACTTACTAAAATTTTATGATACAAGTTATATTGTGTTTGTTTTTTACTTTTTTTATTTAACACGGGAATTGGATGAGTAAAAATAAATAATGTAATTCAATTTAGTAATAAAAATAATTTTTATGCTACAATTTACAAGAATAACACAATATGTACAAACGTAATTAAAACTAAACTAAATAAAATAAACATGAAATTTTAACTTTCAAGTAATAAATTAAAAATTAATAGTACATAATTGTTATTATTAAATTATAGTCGGATCACTCGGATAACACTCGGAGTAGTCTGTTCAGTGTTCACTGTTGACTGTTATCAATATTAACGGAAGCAGCAAAAGCCGGTGATAAAAATCACTACTAGCTAAGATTTCTATCCATGCTAAATCTTGGAGTAATAGTACGTACACGAACCATAACGAAAATGCATCACAATTCACAATGCTATATTACTCATATATTTAAATATTTTAATATTTAACCGTAGGTAGCTTAATTGTTATAATTAAAAAATTTATAATTGTAGATTAAAAATTTATAAAGAATATTCATACTAGATTTTTCATGACATACCTTTAAAAACATTTAAGATATTTTCGTCCTATTTTTACCAGAGTAGTATTTTTAATGTTCAATGTTCATCGGTATATCTCATAACAGTCATAACTGTCGATTTTAAACGGTCCATACACTATGTACTATGTTAATGAAACATCAAGGTGCAACTTTTAAATTCATATTATATTATGATTTAATGTTCGTTGTTTCAGACAAAAATAAACTACGTTGAAAATGTTCAAATATATCGATTAAAATTAAATGATTCACATTATTTTTATTTTATTTTTTGTATCATTGGTTTGTAGTTTGTTAACATATTGGAGACAGACTATGAAATAACTTAATGACAAACAGGGGTTCTGATTTCAGAAAAAAAAAAATGATTTAACTTAGTAAATTAAATTAACAATGCTCGTTCCAATTGTACTGTCTAGAATTTCGTAATTCACTTTTCTTAAGCGTTACAACATACCCGATTATCTCACAAGATACACATTAAATTTCGAAATTTTTTACGAAAAAGGAGACAAATAATTCAATTATACCTCTATGACTCTATATAATAATTTATTAAAATACTGTTTTAACAAAGTTCACACTATTTACTTGGATAAATTGTACACCAGTCTTATGGTTTTTGGAATCTTAAAACAAATGATGTAGGAACTATATGGTAAATCATAAAGAACTTCTTAAAGGTACTGTAGCTTGTAGTATATAGTATATGAAATTAAGAAAGAATGAAATGGTTTTTTTTAAATTACCAACAAATTTGTTTAAAATGGAAAGACCTATGAGAAGAGGTCTTATTATGTCATAATTAAAACAGAATTATTAGATAGAAGTAAAAAAGTACCATCATATTATTATTTGATTTATAATAATTTGCCTCTGTATTAACAATTGTTTTAAAATATATTAATGTATTACATTGTATTGATTTTTATACTTATCGTTATTTTAATTGCCTTTTTTTTTTTTTTTGAAAAAAAAATGATAAATATAAATAGTTTTAATATATGCGGTTACGCGTATTTATAAAAATACGGCAATTTAAAATCTAAGATAATTTTTTGTTTTGTCCATTGGAATTGTTGAAAAAAGCCGTACATTATTGTTATAGGTTTTTGGACTATGGCATTTATTTTTATATCTACACACGGAGAATTAGACAAAACAATAAAAAATAAATAAATAGAATTGTTCAATAGTGAGTAAATAATTAGAGAAAATACCAGAAAATGGTTCATTCAAACAAGAAATAATTGGTGGAAAATAACTGTTCGTATTTATTTTTAATGAACGTAGTAATTGTATCGCATTAAACACGATGCTCGTTCCCAACTTAGTAACATGGTGTAAATATTACCTACCGTCTGCATTATCGTAAAACAGGACAGTGTAAAAGGTGTTTTTCCACAACGCGTGGCTCGGTGAACTTTTCACGGCAGATTTATTAAACCGAGCCAATACACTATACCAGTAATGTATTTAGGGGGGGAAAGGGCGCCAATAGATTTTTGCACCTAGGACATCAAAATTGTAAATATACTTCTGCATTATGCTCGACATAACACGAGCTTACATCATTCTCACGTCACGAGATTGGGCGAATTACGTACTTATCCAAGCCAATCCTGAATCCAAGCTTCCTATTACAAGTATTTTAATTAAGCGGTTAAATTTTATAATTCAAAGTGAAGTGCTCTAGATCAAACACAAATTGTTGCTTGCATAGCTGTGTATTTTAAACAATCGTACTTAGTTAAAACTTAAAAGAAAAACCAACTATAAACAAAATAAATAGGGAAGAATATATTGCGGTTTTCATATAGTATGCGATCTACTGGCAAACGCGTTCTACCGGCTGCTGTAGGATGCGGTCTACCTGTGGTTTTATATAGGCTTAAGTTTATTTTTAATAGATGCATTTTAATCTTTTTCTTCGTTCAACACTTTATCTTTATTGCTTTATACACAGATAACAATACTTTGACATTTTGTAAAAGTATAGGCCATAGGGGCTCAATAACTCAGTACGTCATTTATTGCGCGACAACACAATTTATATTTTATATACTCAATATGTTGGCAAAAGATTTTTATTTAATTATTAGTAGTATGACGAATCAACCACAAGTTTTTTAATTGGCAAAAATCTTGTGGCAAATAATGAAAATTCCGAATGTATTAAGTGTGGAAGTGCTATGAATTTATACCTACGTAAGGAGAGAGGTAAGGAAAAGAGAATTTTACGTTGTAAGAGAAAGGGATGACAAACAACACAAAGCTTAAGGTAAGAAAATTATTTTCTTATATTCTATCCTATTCATTTGGCGTATTTTATCATAATTGTCTAACACCGTATGTGACTGGATGAATTTGTGTCGGGATATACCAGTGAAAATATTCGAAAAACATAATAAATTTGGAGGACCTGATATTATCATACAAGTCGATGAATGTTTGTTAAGAGGATCTAGAAAAAATCATAAAGGTAATTTATATTTTATAATTGAATACATAATAAAATACAATTTTATATTGAACATTAAATATAAAATATTATAAATCATCATTATGTTGTTACAGGTCGATATCTACTTGCAGATTTGACGAGTGAAAACATCGAAGACAAAAATGACGACCCTCTTGAAAATGGAAGAAGAAATTATGGTAGACGAATGGACGGTCCTTAGGTGTTTGGATTATGTGACGATAGTGAGACACGATATTTTGTTGTCGAAAAGCGGGACAAGCAAACTTTGCATGACATTATTAAAAGAGAGGTTATATTGGGTTCTATTATACACTCTGATGGGTGGCCAGCATTATAATGGGATAGCCCAATATGGTTATACGCATAGTACAGTTAACCACAGCGAAAATGTTGTTGATCCACTTACACAAGCGCACATTCAACGGATCGAAAGTTTATGGAGACCATTATGCTTAAAAGTAGTTAAAAATATGTGTGGTACAAGTCCTGATCTCCTATCAAGGTAAAATTATTATAAGTTATGTATAATAAATTTAACGTAATACGTATGATACAATGATACATATTATTGCAGGTATCTCATAGAAACACGGTGGCGTGGAATAAATAAATCAGATTTATTTAATTCATTTTTGAGGGATATAGCGGAAGTTTTTGTATAACATTATTACATTATATTTATTTATATTCATTGACAACAATTTTTTTGACAAACGAATTTTTAATTATTAATTTTTTACTAGGTATTACTACTACAATAATTATACCATAATATTATGATATCATTTTTAATTTATTTATTTGCGGTAGACCGCATACTATATTTGTAAATCATCGGTAGACCGCATACTATACTCGTAAATTCACCGGTAGACCGCATACTATATGACAGCCGATATTGCATTGAACACAAAATTCGTCTCCAATGTGTTGTAACAGAACATTACAGTAAATAGTGGTGACAAAAATTTTTTTGATAGCGATACAAGAAAAAAAACAAGATATCACCCACACATTATATTTGCTCAATGTTGAGTGTTGACTTACCATAGTAGGAACTACACCACTCCTAAAGAGTAAATGAATACATTTTTATGGCGTATTGGTTCAACTAAAAATTCGTATTTAATACTTATACTTCGACAAAAATATTTTTTTATAATATATATATATATATATTTTTAATAAGTGATGTAAGGTACTTACTGAATTTAAAAGGGCTAAAAAATTATTACTTTTCAATTAGAATTACGTTTCTCATAAGTATATCTTACATAAAACTATGAAGCTTGAAAATATATTAAAAAAGGTATGCACATTTTTTTATTGATATTTCAGTTTCAAATTTTAATTATTTTGTTGTAATTCCAAAAATATTCGCAGCAACTTGAAATACATTTTGCTAATACGTGTATTAATTATTTTACATAATTAAATAATAACATTCAGATTAATATAAATCTATTTATAGTTTATAATAATTTCACGTTGATATTTATATTATGGACAAGAATTCTAAAGAGGCGAATTCATATTGTTTACTATCGCTTACCCAAAGACAATAATAATTGAAAATTTTTTGGAAATATTTGAACTAAAAAAAAATTCAAATATATTTTATGTTTGTTTTATTTTTATTGCTTAGATATGATTTCATCATACTTTTATGGTATTAAATAATATAAAATGATTTAACAGTGTAGCCGTACTACACAATATTTTCAGGTTACGTATCACCTAGATCCCGCGACAAGTAGATCCCCATACGTCAACTAGATCCCTTCCTGCATTTAGATCATGTTCGTCGTTCACCTATTTTTCTTGATGGTGATGTTTTTCAACTTCAATAAAATCATCTTACATCACATTTTCTACATGACTATATAACACTTGTGATCAATAAAATAAGATCAAATTCCGCTTCTAACGGCCTAAAAAATAAATTGCATGATTAAATGGCCACAGACGCAAAAGTTGCTACTTTAACACGTGTAGAGATTATTCACGTTTTTTTGAAAATGTATGTATTATTTTGAAGAACCATGACCTACTATAAATATTATACTTATGTGCATAATTATATATTTTATAAATAAACTTATTATAAATAAGTTAAAAAAATATTATTTAATTAAATATTATAATGTATAATGTATGTAATATATATTATATATTCAGTGTTAATATGTCTTATAATCATATTTTTTAAATAATAGAAGTATAAACAACCCTATCAAGTATAAACTTATAAACTTATATTATCATCTACTACTAAAGGTTTTCAAATTTATTCATCTAATAATTTATTAAGGTATGCTCATTACGTTTTTAAGAATCTGCCATAAAAACATTTTTAATGAAGCTATATATGAATATAATTTATTTTATAACTTCAATGATTAATTCTGATGCTAATTCATTCTCTCTTGTTGGATGC